TATGTTTTACCTACAAAAAGGTACTCAAGTGACCAAATATTTCAATATCACGAACAATATATTGAATTAACTTTAATTACTTTATTTTATTCTTTAGCTGGCATCACTGCCTACTAATTCCAGGCTTAGTATACCTCTTTAAAAAAATAAAATGTTAGCTGTCACGTCGCGTCTGTCACATTGATTGATTTTCATTCGACTTCTTTGAATACTCGAATGCGCTCATGTGTTCTCGGTATTTGCTGCCATTTGTTGTTATTATCTTGTTATATTTGTTAAGTTTCTGATATTTTGTTAAGTTTTTTCTTGTAGACTTTTCGTGTTGTGATCGTTTGTTGATTTTTATAAATGTTATGGAGCCACAACCTGGCCCTTCCCGGAAAGTAGCCCCATCTGACAGAGCACAAAACTCAGACTTTCTTTCTCCCAAAAAGAAGCGTCCTCGTAGAGCTTTTACGCTCAACGAAAAGACTAGTAGTAATAATAATAGTTCTAAATATTTACAAATATAATATAGAAAATTGGCCGCAAACAACTGATTGGAGTGCAACGTAATGTGCTAAAAAGACTTCTGAGATGACTGGCGTGGGTCTGTCAAGTGTCTATAAAATTACCAGAGAATATAAAGACACAAAAGAGTTTCAAAGGCCGAAAAAGAGTGGACCTCAACTATCTTTCATACATACATTTGACGAATTTACTTTCGCCGCAATTCGACGAAAGGTTCACGCGTTTATCTACAGGAACGAGATTCCGACTATTGAAAAAGTAAATAACTTTACTAATTCTTTAACGCCTCGTTGCTAACATTGTCTTAAACCTATACTTTAACATATGTTGCCTGTCTACATTTTAACTGTAATGTAAATGCTTATTTCAGATTCACCCAGAGATAGCTGCTAATCCAGACATGCCTGTTATGTCGAAATCAAAATTAAGAAAAGTATTGAAGCATTTAAATTTTAAATACGCAAGTCGCAAACGTTAAAGTGCGCTAACAGATCGCAAGGAGAGAGTATTATGGCGTCAAAAATACATGCACCAAATTAAACAATATAGAAAAGAAGGCAGGTTTATATATTACCAGGATGAAACGTGAGTAAACGAAGGCATGTATTGAATAACTACCTAACCTAACTTTTTAAAGGCTATTACTAACCTATTTTTTCTTCAAAGTATTAGTCGGCAATCAAATTCTGTACTTATGTAAATCTTAAATTAACTTTGTTAACAAATTTCTGTTGCCAAAATGAATAAATAAATAAAGAAATCCTTATTTATAGGTAATATTTTTCAACTTATATGTATACTAGCTTGCCAGGCAGACCTTGTTCTGCCCTTTCCGATGACGCTTCCTATGAAAAATTCATAAATTCGCAATAAAAAAAATATTGAAGGTCACTTATCGGGATAAAAAGTATCCTATCTCTCAAGTTCGACCAAACTGCACACAGTGTATAAAATTTCATTAAAATCGACTTATAGTTAGCCACATAGGGAGCGGAGACGGATTTTTGGAAGATGGCTTATTGGTTTTTGAGGCAAAAAAAAGTCTTAGCAGATTACCACAAGGAGATGACTGTAGTAGTGTTGGATAATGCTCTCTATTATTCGAGGAAGGTCAAAAAAGTACCAACAAGTGCATGGAGAACAGGCGATATCCAAGCGTGATTGACTTCCAAAAATTTAAATTTTAAAGAAAAAATGCTAAAAGTGAATTTATTGGAAATTGTGGGTCAGGAGAAATACAAATACTAAGAGTGTATCGTAAACGAGATGGCCGCAGTACAAGGCATTACTGTGCTTAGACTGTCCCCATATCATTGTGAGCTCAACCCTATTGAATTGGTGTGGGCTCAAGCGAAGGGGCATGTCGCAAGACACAACAGAAGTTTTAAAATGGCGGAAGTTAAAAAAAACTATTACTGGAAAGTAAAAGTAAAGTTACTCCTCATAAATGGCAAGAATGTATCAGCCATACAATCAAAGAAGAAGATAAGATGTGCACTCCCGACGATTTGATTGACACAGTCGTAGACTCTTTAATAATTCATGTCAGCGATTAAAGATTTAAATAAAAATATGTTATCTTTACTTGTGAGTTTTTTACTGTTTGTGATGAAAAGGAACGTAATTATCACTCGCCATAAAACCACTTTCAATGTGGAGCACCGCACTTAATAAAATGGATACATTCACTAACAAATAAAATGTATGTATAGACTCTGATGTTCAGACTCGTATTGAAATTGAAAAATATGCGTGGCCAAAAAGGTTTGTAATCTCTGACATGTGAAAAATTATAGCTGTCAGAATTCTACGGAATGAAAAATCAGACTATACTATCCCAATCCTCTATCTACGGTCTCAGGTGGGTATCGACCATAAGCTGTTGTTGTCGTTACGATTTGATAATTAAAGCAGGCAAAGGACCGACTGCAGGACCTAATCTCACTTGTATTTTGTCAACAAAACTCTTCGCTATGTGATGATACGTCACATTGCGGAGTTCTTAGGAGTTATTGGAGACAGACTAATATATAGTTCATGTTCATGATAAAAATAGCTAAAGGCTTCTAAATGAATAAAAAAACAGAAATTTATATCCCCGTTGAAGCATCTGATAAATCGTTTATGCTAATAGTTCACATGCGCAGGAATTTAATATACGAAATCGCGCTACTTTTTGTATCAAAATTCAATACCAGCCATCATTTAAACAATAAAAATATGGAGTGTAGAGAGAAGGGGGACCATCTCTATATATGAAAAGTGTCCCTAAAAACGTGTCCAATAAGGGTAGCGCTGCAGTAGTATAGGATAAATTTTAAAAAAAGCACCAAAGTAATTAGAATAAGATGGGGAAATAAACAAGGACCGACCAATCGGCTTGGTTTTGTACTACGTAAATAGTTGAGATTTTGTATACTGGCATTTTACTAACTACTCTAGTCATGAAATTTTTTAAACATTTGAATTCAGCTGACTTAACTCCGTTCAGAACAGTTATCTTCATATCGTAGTTTTTTAGACGCCAGGGCTATTGTGGTAGGTTTTGGAACCTCTATTTTCAGTAAATAGTAGGACACTTTTTCAACTTTCGCCCATTATAAGATGGTTCTCCTTGTACTCTACACTCCATAAATAAAACAAATAGGAGCAGCAATTCTCCGGCGGTCAAAACTCCTTGACCATAAACTCTATGATTGATGTTGCAAATGTCAGAGTATGACTAAAACATTTTATTTAGCTTAGTAAAAAATTCCTAATATCTGGTGTCCGGTAGCTTATAGCCTTGTAATAGCATATAATAGACCTCACAGCCGTTCTACAATAATACAAAAAATATGGCCCAAGTAGAACCTAAGATACCATTTTTAAGAAAAAATACTAACCTTTTTTACCTTATTTTACATTTGTCTTCACCATGACCTTAAATGAATGAATTCCAGCGGTTATTTGTTGTTATAATATTGTACGTTGACAATGCCACAGGAGAGATAGTAAATAGTGTGAATAGTATATGCATATTAAAAAAGCACTAGAATTATGTATTAAGTGCAAAATTGACGAAAATTTTCTTAAAATCTTGGGTGTAAAATAATGTATAATATGATAACCTAAGAAACCAATTATTTTTAAAGAATGTATGTATAAAGTAGATTTGAAAATGGTATAATTCACTACTGTATCTAGTGTAAGTAGCAAAGTAATATAATAGTATATTAATGTTCAAAGTTAGTCAATTTAGTTAATATCCAAATTTTCGATATTGAAAAATCTGTAATTTTTATAAATGTTTATAATTTGTTTTTGACTTTTGGTGTTTACTAAAAAATTCTAATTATCATGATTGTTTGATGATATAACTACTAATGAAACTAATTTTTTTAAATAAAATAAATGAACACCAAATGCTACGTTCTAAATACATGTTTAATATATTTATTATTGATGTGAGAATGGTTGACATATATTTGCTACTTGCTCATACGCCGTACCATCTATCTTTTGTTCTTGTTAGACAAAGAGATTCTGAGTTGGCTATGTGTGAGCGAAAGGGAGTAAATGTAAAAATAATATACGGACTCAGTGCGTTGATCGAATAACTCAACTTCAAACTAAGAGTAAACTCAATATATTGTAATGTTTGCGAATAAAATACACACCAAAAAAGGCTTTGTAATCAATACTTTTGCTTATCTTAATTGGCAAATCCTAACAACAACGTATCTATGAATCTATGATTAGCAGGGTTGCCAGATTAGGCAAATTCTCTCAAAATTGGAGATATTAAAATATATCTTGTGCCTAAATTTCTATTGGGTGATATATCGCAAATTAAGTGATTTTGACTCTGAAGGGAATTTTATTTTCAAAGATCTAGCATGATTAACACTGACAGCATGCAGCCTAACAGTGAGTAATGCTACAGTTGGACGGGCGTTCTCAAAACTAACCGTTACTAAAACTAATTTTTTAATCGCATGAATCTACTTTTATTATCGAATTTAGACGATTTTAGAAGATGACGGAGTGTGCTGTACTGAATTTGAGTCTGCTGATAATATGCTAAATTTTAATTCTAAAATTTATGATAAAAAAGAGCCAAATACTATAGAAGGAGAAGAAGAAACCGTAGAGGAACTATTCACATCTTTACATTTCTAATTAATAAAATCTTTCTATATTTCATTATTTATATATATGTCTAAAAAAATTATAATAACGTTATTGTTTATCGCACTTTATTTATTGTAATATATTTATGATTGATATATTCTAATAAGCTACAATAGACGATAAATAAAGAGTATTTGAATTCAAATATATTGGCCGTTTTTTTCATTAGTTTGCGGTTTTTACGTGAGGTCGCGCGGTTTCTTTCAGAAAATTCTGGCAACCCTTGTGTTTGTGATAAAAGTATTCATGGCCTAAAGGTCTAGATGCCAGGCCATAAACTCCAAAAAAAAATTCAATATGGCTACTAGCTACAGATCATACGACTTGAGCTGTCAGCTGAAATAATTATTGTTTCTTTGTGTTTATTACGCCTTAAAAATGTTATGATTATTACGTTTAAGCGAATATGGGTGCAAAAGATTCAAAACCTAGTTTTATATCTTACGAAGATGCTACAAAGAGGGGTACGCAAAGTGATGTGTGTTATTGTTCTGCGAAGAATTGTGATTTTATTACATAGTTTTGTTTGCAGTGAGCGACAGTGAACTACGGCGTATTCGTGAAGCATTCAAAAGATGTGCCGGTACTAATGGTACAGCCTTGAGTCTTGAAGCATTTGTCCATGAAGTGCTGTGTGATGGAGTTCCGTTCGAGGTAGCAGAATGGCTGTATCAGGCTTGTGGTGGCACGAAGCGAGGAATCGCATTTAAGGATCTTTTGTGTGGCATCGTCGTTCTGACCAAAGGAAACATTGAAGAGAAAATCAAGTAAGAAATTATGTTTCCCAATTTTCCAATATCATTCTTCTTGGTTTTTTCATAATGCTGACTTAGTTGTTGTTTTAAAGTAATAAATCCAGATAAGTAAATAGTTATCGTATTTAAATATACTCTTTCAAATTTTATAAATGTTGAGTGGCCTAATAACTTTTCTTTTTTATTACATACACTCCATTTTGATAATTGCAACTATTCTAACAAAAATCACAGCTAAATTTGTAGTTCTTTATTATAAATATAAAATTGAATTATAAACTTCGACAAATGGCATAAAACTATGTTTAAATTTGAAGCACAATTTTTATTCTGTTGTTAAGTTTTTGTGATTGTTTCTAAGCGCATTGAATATTCATATATGACTTTGCACAAATGATTTTTGGATCTCGACAACATATTATACATACATTGATGAAAACTGCATCAAAATCCATTGTATACCTTAAAAGATAGTGAAGTATAGAGAAGTGTACAGACAGTGGGAAGAGACTGTTTTATACTATGTAGGGAAGTTGTTATTGAATACCAACTTGATTTTGTTCCAACCCACTGTGATTTTGTTCTTACTAGGTAATATGTACATTTTGTTTTTTAACAATGTAATAGATAAATATACTATGTGAATGTTTATGTGAACATAGATTTCTTATCTTGGATGATAACATATATCAGATTTCTTTCATATTATATATTATTATAGTATAGTAAACAGATTGATAGTTAACAAACAGGTAGATATTGCATTAAAAGAAAAAAAATTGTTAGACATAAAAAAATACATACTATACATATAAAATACATACAATCTAGTATAGGAAATTATAATATATATAAACCAATAACATTAATCAAGTAATTTTAAATAATGACAGCTTTCTGATTAATAATTTGGATTAGAAGAAAGATTTAATGGGTTATTCAGTTTATCCACCCTGAGATGTATACTACATTATTGCACTAATAATAAAGAAAAAGAATATATTTAAGTTATTTTACCTTAGGATGACTGTTTTAAAGTGGATAAACAGAATAACCCAATTTAGTACAGTGTACAAGGTAGTAAAACATGTTTAAGCCCAATATTTTTTGCATAAATTTGGTTGAGATTTGAGCCATGGCTCCCAAGCTTAGGTAGGTATGTTGACCATTTGGTCACACAGAATTTGTACATTGCAAATAGCAAATACGTTATTAAAAACTATAAAATTATAAATTTTGTACTACCAATTTCATTATAAATAAAATGAGAACATCATCAATGTAGTCGAAGTCAATTAAATACGCATTATTAAGGATAATTCATAAAGTACTGGTCAGATCTTGATCAAATGTGGAACCACATGAGAAACACCATCTTTCAAATAAAAAGAAAATCATCAAAATGTGTACTTTGAAAAAAGTTCTGAGGCAACACACAAAAAAAATAGAGTTGAATTGAGAACATATTCCTTTATTTGGAGTCTGTTGCAAAATACAATGAACAAAGTAAATTAAAGTTATAGAAAGCAGTAATAAAATATCTACATTGTCACTGTACCATTATGTAACAGTTGTATAGTGAGCATGAAGATAATAAAACAACGTAAATATGTAAAATAAATTGATACAGCATTTGATTGATGTTCTCTTATAAACATGTATAGAATTAAAGTCAGTAAAAATTACCTTGTCCACATCATTATCTCCCTCATTTGCGTGCGCTATCTTCGTCATAATTCACAATTTTGACTAACTTTAATATAATGGATTTCTGCAAAGTACCGACTGATTATATTAATTATGGTAGAAGTTTAAATTTAGCATTCAATAGGAGTATGTTTCTTTATAATTTAAAATCAAAAATTTTGTACAACCGACTTCAATATAAATTATTAAGAATAACTCAAAAACTATTAGTCAGACCTTGATCAAATTTATATGGGACCACATGTGAAGCACCAGCTTTCAAATAAAAAAGGAATCATAGAAATCGGTTCACCCAGTAAAAAGTTATGAGTAGCACCATGCTGAACTTAGTAATGTAATAGCATGGGATAATATTTATTTATTAATTACTATTATTTATTAATTAAGTTAAATTTACTATTATCTAATATATATTTATAATTATTGTTCTAGGTTCCTATGGACGCTCTATGTAAACAATCAAAGTGAAAATGGCACCTACATATATAAGCGCGACTTTGCCCGTGCTTTGCAGTTGGAGAATACATCCCTGTCAGTTGCTGGAGAACAAAGAACAGCAGACATCTTGACTAGCTTATTTGGTCACAGTGAAAGAGTCACCTTTGAGCAGTTCCGATCCTGGCTACTCATACATAAAGATGCAACTGTTCTGTCAAAATGGCTATTATCAGATCGGGGCAGTATATCCCATGACTTGGAGACTCCGACCTTCTACCAGAGCCTGGCTGGTGTAACTCATTTGGAGGAAAGGGTAAGTTGTTGTTGCCATTTTATGAAAAGAATCATTAAAATTGATTTAGCTGTATCTGAGAAATCAGTAAACATACTAAAACAATAGGTGTTAAATACAGACCATGTCGTTTTTTATCAACATATTTAATAGATTTCTTAATGCATAAGACTTATTTAGAAGGGACACACTTGGTCTATTTATACCGGTTACTTAAAGCTCAAAGTTGTTGACAAATATGATTACCTGGGACAAATAGTCAGACTAGGTAAGTCCAACTTTGACCGAGAGGTCATTCGACGGATTTAACTTGTCTGGGCAGCATTCGGGTGATTATGATACATCTTCTCGTCAGAGATACCTTAAAACCTCAAAACTAGATTGTACAACCAGTGCGTTTTGCCAGTTATGACCTATGGATCTGAGACATGGTCCTTCAACGCTGGCCGTATAAGGAAGATCAAAGTTGCTCAGCGAGCTATAGAGAGGGCTATGCTCGTTTCTCTGCGTGATAGACTTAAAAACGAGGATATCCACAGTAGAACCAGAGTAACCGACGTAGCCCAAAGAATTAGTACGCTAAAGTGGCAATGGGCCGGCCATATAGCTCGAAGTACTGACAATCGATGGGGAAGAAAGGTTCTCGAGTGGCAGCCTCGTACCGGCAGGCGAAGTGTAGGGCGTTCCCCCACTAGATGGAGTGACGACCTGGTAAGACATGCAGGAAGTCAATGGATGCAGGTGGCTCGGGATCGTGCTTTGTGGCATTCCTTGGGGGAGGCCTATGTCAATTTAACGATAAATGGACAATCTCCATTATAACATGGACCACTAGTAAAAAGAGATTCAGTCTCTTACTGGTCGTCACTTTATCTCGATTACTGATTCCCCGAGAATAGTGATCTGAAGTGGCAATTGGTCTGCCATATAGCACCAAGAACTGACAACTGATTGTGAAGAAAGGTTCTCGAGTGGTACCCTCGTATCTGTAATGTAAATCTATCTTGTAGGGCAGACCTCAACTAGATGCAGTGATGCAACACAATAGAATTAAGTACTTTTTAATCAATATTGAAATGGATGATAACATAGTACTTAGTGAGTCATTTATGTTTTTACGACTAGTTCGAAAAAATGTTTTAGACAGTTTTTTTTCAAAAATATATTAAAATAAATAATGTTGGTTATCTCAATGAATTACAACCCCGTGTCTTCGTTTACGATAATCTCCGAAAACGCTCATACAACTTTAATGAAATTTTCTAAATGTGTATAAATGTGCTTGCTCTAACTTGCGAGATAGGATAGTTTTTGTCTGGATAAGTGACCCTCGTTATTTATATTGAGAATTTTATGATTTTTATAGGACAAAAGGTCGTCGCAAAGGGCAGTACAACGTTTGTCTGGCTAACAGTAAAAGTATATAAGTATATGTTTTACTGTTAGCCAGACTTTCGTAGTATATTATTATTGATAAACGTATTATATTATTGATTAACAAATACAAATAAATGAATTACTAGAGTTTGAATGAGAGGGAGATGGATATTATTCCATATCGCTTCCTTATAGCCGTCAAGGCTGTCTAACTACGTCAGAAGAGGTAGTGACGGAAAAATCTTACACTTTTTCTCACCTAGGTACCATCCGCCAAATTCGTACCGTTCAATAAAGAACTTCGTTCCAATAATATTGGGAGGATCTATTGAGATATATTTATATCTCAAAGAGATAAAAAGCCCCGTATCATGATGTTCGTTCACGCTAATCTTCGAAAACGTTTAACCGATTTTAATGATATTTTCTAAATGTGTATTGCTTGCTAGATAGGATAGTTATTATCTCGATAAGTGACCCTCAATATTTACATAGAGAATTTAAGGATTTTTTATAAGACAAAGGGTCGTCGCAAAGGGCAGAACAACGTCTGCCTGGCTACTAGTGTATAATAAAATATAGGTATTCAGTAAACAATACTCATTCTAAAAAAAGTGACAGTATAGACAATCATGGGTTTCAAATCTGAAACAATAGCAGAGGCAAGAACCCACGTCCTTCATTAAAACTTGAGTAATACGCATCGCTATAAAAGGAATATCATAATGGTGCACAAAATGAAAATAATGTCACACATTTGTAACTAGGGTTGCCAACAATTTTTTGGCTGATCATATAGTATTTTAAAAGATATAGTACACTTAACAAATATAGTATTTAATGGCAAAAGTAAATAATAGATGTTGAATAATAAGAGTAATGAATAGAGTTGTTGCAAAATAAGGATTGGTCCATCCGACTAAAGTATTGTATTTTTGAGTACAATATATTTCTTCAATAGTATATAGTACGCAAACCCGAAATACAGTACAAACTTTATTTAAATAATTCTACTGTACACGTGTTTGTCACTGAACTCCTAAACGACTAGACAGATTTTGATGAATTTTTTGTGTGTGTTTAAATGGGTCTCTGGATGGTTTTGATTCATAAATGGACCTGGTAGGTGGCGCTGTTATCGAGATCCAGAAATCAACAGTACGAAGCCGGGGCGGATCGCTAGTTATATTATATTGCAACATAAGAAATGTGTCAATGAGAGAGACGTTTAAAACACATACTATACTCTCGTCGGGGCTACACTACAGCTCCCACCGACAAAACAATAAATAACCCTTCCTTGGCAGTGGGGTAAAAATAATCTATTTTTTTTCGATGCTTAAAATTATTCTAAACGTATTCAATGAATTGGTTGCCAACCGTATAATACATTACAATATAATATATGTCGAAAAAGAATATAATAAATATATAAAGAATATATGTTGCAACCACTGGTTAGGGAAAATAATACGGCCAAACTAATGTGGGAAATGCCTGTTCAAACAGATATTACAATAACGCACAATAGGCCAGATATGATTTATATAAATAAAATTGAAAATAAAACATCGATTTTACCGTACCATCCGATTACAATATAGGAGCGAATTATAGAGAAACAGTAAATACCATGCACTAAGAACTGAAATAAACCGGCTTTGGAAAACACTAACGTTTATTAATACGGGCCTCAATTCTCGACAAATAATTTAAAATTAAAAATTTTGTACAGCCGACTTCAATATAAGAGACTTCAATATAGGTTATTTAAGAATAACTCAATAACCATTGGTCTGACCTTGATCAAATTCATATGGGAGAACTATCAGCTTTCATATAAAAAAAGAATCATCGAAATCGATTCGCCCAGAACAAAGTTATGAGATAACACACATAAAAAAAAAACATGCAGTCGAATTGAGTACCGTCTCCTTTTTGGAAGTCGGCAGAAAAGAGGACGAGGGAGGAACAGAATGAGAACTAGAAGAAAAAAAAATAGATAGTATTATTGTTTATTGTTTATGCGGTTGGCAACCCTACTACACATATTATGTAGTTGTTGATAACGTAATTACGTGTAATTTCACTGCTGATAACGGTCTGATATAATACGTCAGTAGGTGCGGAGAAGCCAATAACCCGAATAATTTTTTTAAGAGGTATAACTTTATACATTTTGATTTCACCGTCCGCGTAACCGTGGCATCTTATTATTTTACTATGTCAAGGGTGTATATTTCCATATTTTTCTTATTGTTCAACTTGTGCCGTTCAAGGACTTTGTATGACAAGTGTGAGAATGAAATTTATAAGAGCTGAGAATGTATGTTTTAATTACGTGGATTGGACTGAGAACACGCAGCCCGTAAAGCTTCACTTGGTAGAGCCACGCTGCGGTCGTGTAATGGTGTTAGCACAAACGGGTCGTCTTGACCGGGGAACGATCACGAATACTAGCGTGAAATATCAACTCAATGCCGATGTGTTTCTTATGGTGAGTGAAGAGAATCGAAGACACGTTTTACTGGAAATAAGGCATTCCATCTTAATCCTCAGGGGTGACAACACATATCGTCATGTCTATGGCAAACTTGCGAATCTGTCATTGTCGCTTAATACTGTCTATTGGCCTCATTCGCCCTCAATGTAATAATACATACTGTGGAAAAGTTTCAAATCTGTATCTGTAATAGGTTATGATATATTTTATCAGTAAATGCGCAAGTCACAGTTGTTTCTATTATATTGGGGGCAGATTAGGCCAATAAACAGTATTAAGCGAAAATGACAGATTCGCAAGTTTGCCGTGACATGACATGACGATATTTTGATTCTCAATCGAGGATAGATGTTTATGTCTATGGACCACAGCATTCAATTTCCATCAGGTGGGCTGTGTGCCCGTTTGTTACCCTAATTCTATATAAAAAAAATATCAAATATCAAAATAATTACATCAACACGGTACATAGAGATATTTTTAATAACATTGACCAACTAAAACAGTACTGACCTAGCTTAGCGCCCGTTCAGATATCAACTCGTCGATGGAGCCGACAACCCCGAACTTCCTTGGCCCCCTTTACATACTTATTCTGTAATTAACACGTGGTAGAGCCATGCTATAGCTATATTATTGGTATAGTTGCAGCATGAATGGGTCGGCTCGACCGGGGAAGGACCGCGCTCTCACAGAATACCAGCGTAAAATAGCACCTTAACGCTGCTGTGTTTCGTATGGTGAATGTAGAGAACCGGAGACGCTTTTTACTGGAAATGAGGCACTCCATCTTAGTCCTCATGGGTGACAACGCATCTGCATTTTGATTCGTAATCGAGGATAGATGTACATGTCTATGGGCCACTTACCATCAGGTGGACTGTGTGCTCGTTTGTCACCCATACCCTATAAAAAAAAATCCTCTCTCTCCTTTTCACCATCGGACAACCAGACGAGAGAAAACTTCTTCTGAATCGCACAGTGGTGGACCGCCAATCATCCAGATGATATGGATGGTATCGCGAGTTTTGTCGCGATGTGCGATGGTGAAATTGAGCGGCTAGAATTAGTCCGAACAATTCCTCAGGGCACTCCCCGTGGTAGATGCGATAAAATACGCATTTACAACAGAATCCCAGAACATGTTCAAAGTTTGTCAATAAACAAGTTTAAAAGTTTTATTAAAGAAAAACTGTACAAAAAGGGTTATTATAATATCAAGGAATACATGAATGAAAATAACCCCTGGGAATAAGGTGATCGCCACCATGCTGGTTCTATGAAAATTCATTTAAAATTGTATAAACAAAATTATTGTTAAGTGAAATTATGTTTAAAAATAAAGTCCCGCTGGGTTTCTTGCTGGTTCTTCCCAGGACAGAGGTATTTTCCGAACCAGTGGTAAATAAAATAATGACTTTCAATAAGTATTATGTAATAATCCATATTGAATAAAAATCATTCTATTCTATTCTATTCTATTCGTAAAACTGTTCTATGAGTAGACGCTTAGCGTTTTTCCTTGAGGAATGGAATAAAATTAATATATCACGTGTCAAGGGAATTTTAGTTTTAAAACACAAAAACTGTGAACGACTTGCCTATAAAGTAAAGTTGCAGCCTATTTACGTTCCACTGCTGGGCACAGGTCTGCTCTCATTTCTGAGAGGGTTTTAGGGCAAGGAAATGTGGGCCGCGCTGCCCCAATGCGTGTTGGCGAACTTGACATGTCTTCGAAATATTTTTTTTTCTTATTTCTCAGATATGCAGGTTTCCTCACGATGTTTTCCTTCACCGACGAGCACGTGGTAAATCAGCACTTAAAATTGCAATTAACAATTTCATTGGTGCCGACGGGGATTGAACCCGGGTTGCTCGAGTACTGTGAAGCTTACAGCGAGCGCTAACCATCTGAGCTACCACGGCTCTTGCCTATATGCATACCGTTATTGTTACAGCCCCCTAATTTGCTCATACGGCGGATATCTGCCATAATTGCCACGCTTATCAGGCGGCTTGGCAACAGCAATTTTTCATTTTTAGTTTTTGTCAGGAAGATGCTGCTGCCCATCTCCTGGTTTGTTTCCCTTTGTCGCTTCTTACGATAACCACGGGACTATATGGGGTAGTGTATATTCTTACACCCCCACTTCACGGTCTGAAGGAACATGGGGGCGTTCAAGTATTACGTAACGCAATTTGGGGGAAGGTCTTGTAAAACGTTACGACGCGTTACAGGAGCGGAACAGGGTTTTAGCAACGCATTACGTAACATTGTTTCTTTTATCTATATAAAATTACGTAAAAATATTCATACGTGGTAGAGCCATGCTGCAGCTATATTAGTAGTATAGTTGTAGCACGAATGGGTCGGCTCGACCGGGGTAGGACCCGCTCTCACAGAATGCCAGCGTAAAATAGCAGCTTAACGCTGCTGTGTTTCGTGTGATGCGTGTACAGAACCGGAGACCCATTTTACTAGAAATGAGGCATTACATCTTAGTCCTCACGGGTGACGACGCATCTGCATTTTGATTCTGTATTGGTGATAAATGTAGATGTCTATGGGTCACAGCAACCACTTACCATCAGGTGGACTGTGTGCTCATTGTCACCCTATCCTTTATTATTTTAATTTTTAATCGAGGATAGATGTAGGTGTCTTTGGGCCACAGCATCCACTTACCATCAAGTGGACTGTGTGCTCGTTTGTCAGCCTTATTCTATTAGGAAAAAACTGGGATGTCCAGTAGTAGACTGTTTACATTCTGGTGAAGATATATCTTAATGACATGGCAGTCTGACGTCACGTTGTTACTAAAATTTATATGCTATTGTTAACTTCAAAATGCGTTAGTAGTTATTGTGGAAGTTAGTTATAAATCAGTGTTGTTCTAATGTTTAAATGATCCATTCAATCGGTTTGTTTGTTTCATAGACAATTGCTAATGGCTGCTAATAACTTTTTGCTGCCCATTGTGACTATATCGTTCGCGATTTGAGATTGCTAAATATTGATTTTTATTTAGTTGTAGTTGTTTTATGTTATATTAGCCGGTATCCGGCGCATTGCTGCCGCGGAAGAGAACGAAAAATTTGCCACCAGATTTCACGAACGCACATCGTGGCAGAACTCCCGATACCATCCACACCATCTGGATGCTTGGCGGTCCACCACTGTACGTTTCACTAGAAGTTTTCTTCCGCGTACACGACCTCTGTGTGGAATAGTTTACCACTGGCGAGGGACCTTCAAGAAAAGAGCTTACTCCTTTCAAAAAGGCCGGCATGGGCGGCGGTAGTCACATACCATCAGGTGAGCCGTATGCTCGTTTGCCTCCTCCTATAAAAAAAAATTATGGAAATATCGTTAAATTCGGAAGAGTTATATTGTTTAATTAGGAATGCTAATAAATAATTGAAATTGAATGATACATAACTTAAAAATATGTAAATTGTTCTTGCGATACGCGCGCCACCTACAGTAAGTTAATTGTACTATGTCTATAACCTTCGCGCAAGTGCAAGCAATAAGTTGACAAAGTTTTAGCGTAATCTGGTGAACGGGTATGGCAGCGCATAAATTACGAACAAACGAAAATTATTTGTAATATATTACATTATATTGTTCCTTTATTAAATTAATAGAAAAACATTCAAAAACAAGGCACAGGTTAAATAGGTTTTAGTTGGATTCTTGTCAGTAATAAAAAAAGTCGGCAAAGTCTTGTCTTTCCTCCTTCGACTACATCACCACTTACTATCTGTTTTTCTTGGCATTACTCTCGACGCCAAGCTTCTGTGGAGCGCCCATATATCTAAACCTGCAAGCTGACTAACTTCCTGCAGCTTATGCTGCAAAAAAGATTAGAGGTCTCACTAGTGTCGAGACAGCTAGATTAGTTCATTTCAGTTATTTCCATAGCATAATGTCTTATAGCATTTTGCTATGGGGAAATGCGATTGATTTAGAAACTATTTTTGTTGTGCAGAAGAAGACCATATGAGCTATTTACAACCTAAAACCAAGTCTCTCAGAGAAAATTTAAATAAATAAATATGTTAACTTTGATCTCTCAGTACATTTACGAAAATTTAATGCATGTATGTTCACAAAAATAAAATAAGATTAAGTAAAAAAAGTTATATACACTATGTGAGCACTAAGAATAAACACAAGCATATACCTGTTTCTCGGTTCCACAGAGTCAGTAATTCATTCATGGTGTAGAAAATATACAATGTGTCTCTATTACCAAGTTGAATTATTTTATGAAATAAAAACCGTATAAAAAGTGTTATTATAATATTAAATATTCATTATGTATTCACATAACCCCTGGAAATGGATGTAGCTTCCAAACTGTTTCTAAAATAAATTTTGTAAATAGTT